AATATCGCACTCGGAGGATGTCTCCTCGCAAAGATGCATTAAGAGATCAAAAGGATTAAGACGCGGAGATGAGGTCATACGGAGAGCAAAACGCGGAGAAACCTACGTACTCGCGTCCAGAGTCCGAAATTTTACGAGCGTCCGTGAACCCGATGCGAGTCGGAATAGGTCGCGAAATACACCAGACGCGAAACAAGCCGGACAGCTGTCGGGACGAACGTGCAACGAGATCATAGGTCGACAAAAATTTCTGGCAAAGTAATCATTCGCTGAAAACCGGAGGATCTTGATTCGAATGTACGGTTTAGAACAGTCCATGAATGTCACGGGAAACATTTGAAAGATAGGAAGATACTCATTTATTTTCCGTTTTTCACAGGAAAAAATGGTTTAGAACGTTTCCAACGTTAACTTTAATTACGAAACTTTCTGAACACTGAATTGTCATTTCCTTCGAGAGGAAGTCTCGGGTTTATTCTAAACTCGTAATATTTAACGTTTCATTTTTCGGTTGAATAATTAAATCCCGAATTAAAATTAAGGTAAAGTAAAACCGCGCATAGATAATTCTACCGAAATTCGTATCTGGCTTAGTCAACCATTGGCAACCAATTCCACGAGCTAAAGTCAATAGGTAATATTGCCTGTTTAGAACGAGCCAGCCGGCCGTGGAGAATGCTCCTCGTTCAAAATGAAATGCCACACCGTCACCCCCCTTTACGCATTTCCGGTTCTCTTCCGTTCTTCGTCTCCGCGCGCATTTGTATTCAGCAAATTTTGTACTGTTAATTATTGCTAAATATATGAATGGTGTCGTGAAGTAACAAGGTTTTGGTACACACCCGCACCCCCAATAAAATCGATATGCGAGAGAGAATGGAAAAATCGTACTCTGTTATCATTTACGTGTTTGATCGAAAGATAATTTACTTGACCAACTGTTCAATAAATTGGTATTTTACGCGAATCTGCTATTGCAACGTTAGAAAAATGTTGCTGTGAATTTTGCCGGCGCGAGTTTATATTTTTACCATCTCGAGTAAATCAACGACTAATCTATTCGGTGAAATAAGAATTTTACGAGAGAACCACTTTTTTTTTATCACCATAAACTTATCTTCGAGAATTCACAGTTTCCCAAAATTCTCTTAAAAAATTTCTATTCTCTTGCTAAGTATAATAAAGACATTCTTTTATATACCCCTTCCTCCCCCTCTAGTCTGTTTATCTAGATGAAAGCTTACGTATACACGTTATTTTACGACTCCGCGCAAGGCTCACTTTTTACGAAATGCATCGTCCAAAGCCTCCGCGGTTCTTACGGCACGAAATATTACTTAAGTGCACGACCGGCTTAAGTAACATATTGCATTTTTCAAAGGTACACCGCCTGGCCTGGTTTACCGGGCGTAGGCGCGTTCTTTAAAGGCGGCCGTTGTTAACGGAGCTAAACATTAGTTCAGCTCGGTGTTAGGCGCTCAATCGGAAAATTCTTCGGCGAGATGGAAAGCCGTGAAGAGGGCATCCTCTGTTTCTCGTCGCCTCATTTCGGAGCGCCTCTCACCGCATCTCGGCCTCCTCCGCGACGGATGGGACTTCTTCGAGGACAAGTGATTCGTCTCTGCTCTTTCTTGCGCCTCTCTCTCTCTGTTCGTCCCACCCGACACTCGCGACAGTCTCGCTTTCAACACAGTCTCGGACTCTAAACGAGGACCGCGAAAATGGAAAGACAGAGAGTGAGGGGGGGGGAGCGCTGGAATTAGAGTAGGACCTCCCCTAGATCTGAAGAGCTCGGTTCAGCGCACTCATCAGCGATGCGACCTCTCCAATTTTCTCCGGCTCTCCTCCAACGCCGTGATTTCGTCCTGCCGCCACACCCCGCCCCTTTCTCACCATCCTCATCACCTCCACGTTCGTTCGTTTCCTATCCTTTGACTATCGATTGCCGGCACGCTAAGTTACGCTGCTCCGAATGTGCGCCACGATAAAGTAACTAATTGCCAGTATGCTCCGCGGTTGCTGGTAGTTTCGAACGTGCCCGCAATAAGCTACCTTGCAATATATAGATAGCGGTAACTTACGTCGCGCCGAATATTGCTCGCGATAAGGCGCCGGATGTGCATTGTGCTAAGTTGTATTAGTGCAAATATACTTTGTGTGCTGCGTCTCCGCGAATCCACCGAGGGAGGCGAAACGGCGCGCGTTTCTAATATGATTTAGGATAAACTACGACAAGCTGTCTCGAATGCCGCTCGTGATTGGATAGAATTTCACGCGTATTGCACATTGTCGTTCCGCTTCAACACAGGGTGGACCAGTAAATCGTGGTGAACAACCGAGGAAGAGATGATTCCTCTTGAAAAAAGAAAAATCGAAAATTCAATAGGATAGTTAGTCAAGTAAATTTAACTAAGACGTCGCCGATACAGAACGTGTGTCACTCATGTGTGGTCAGAAACATCAATGCAAGAAGCATATCCGTATATTCTCGATTAGTATAGCCTGCCATCATGACAAGTTGAAACTGATAGGTGAAACCGAAAGATAGTAAGGCAACAGATTAGAACCATTATATTACAAGCATGTCAAATATACTGTATACAAACAATCGAGATCTGTTCAATGTTAATGTTAAATGCTAATGTATACTCGTCTAAACTTTAAACGTCGATTTTCTTGAAAACAAAGACTCGTATAATGTTTATTCCACATTTTCGGTTTATTTTTTAACAAAATATCTTCTGTATCCCCCTTTCTGGTTGTACTGCAATTATTGGGCTACCCTGTATAATCCCCGAGAAGGTACACTATGTAGAGTGTTTCGTGTAACACATGGGCGATGAATATACCCCGTGGCATGTTGTCTTACATTCAATACATTCTGCCCGAAGTTACGCTGCAACAAGCGTGTACTTCGTAATGATAAACCAACCTGACCCAGATATATTTTGGAATAAAGTTGCGATAGCTTACCGCTGGGTCTTGCGGTTGAACATAGTTTCGTATACATTCTTCCCTGTGGGCTATCTTGCCCCGGCATAATCTTCCGCATAAGTTATCTCATGGAGAATACTCCTTATATAACAAGACACCCCCCCAGCGAAGAATATTGGTGGTGAATATTATATTTCGCATGCACTTTACGATGAACTGTTTTTCCCGCGCCGTATTTCGCGTTATACGCCGTCTTGTTCGAAACAGCGAGAGAGCATTTACGAGAACAACATACTACTCCCGCGTGGTTCTCTCAAAAATAATTTTCACAATTGTTTTCCTTCGTAAAATATGTTTTGAATAGTTTCGAATTTCACCGATGGAGCTTTAAACGAAAAAAAAAAAAAACACGACGGAATCGCCGACGGTGCAAATATAATAGTTGCCGCGATCAACGGCCGGATATAATTTGCAAAAAATTGCCACTCTCCCAAATAAATGTTGTAACCATCCCTATCTCTCGCTCGAGTGTATTCGGAGTGCTGTATATCATCTCGCTTGCACGAATACAAGCCACGCGCGGTAAGCAACCTCGCTTCGTACACTTCGCATACATCACGAACACGATCGGCGGAGCGGAAATGGAAGTGCAATTAATAGAACGGTTGGAAATATTCCGTTGATATGAATTCCTCGTTATATCGCGCATTAATTCTTGTCGCTCCTCCTCCTCCCTCCCTCTAGCCTCCTACCCTGCTCGTCCTCCGGAGAAGAGAGACGACAGAAGGCGGAGGAAGGAGGAAAGGAAAGCGAGACATCACGAGGACGGAGCGGTTGCACTCCACCGATGCACTCGTAGCGAGTGACTGCGCTCTCCAAGATGTTGACGTTTAAGCGCCTACTTGAAGAGGTCGTCTTCTTCAACGGAATCGTGTCGCGTTCTCCAACCTTTCACGGAAGCTGCGCCAGACTAACGATCTTTTCGTCGAGTAGCCGAACACTCGTGCGGTTTTTTACCTCGCGAGTGTACCGCACGCTGCGACGATACATGTTACAACGGCGCCGCGATTAGGCGCTCCAGTTCCAGTTAGACTGGAAAAATTTTTCCGCGATTTACCTCCTCGATTGTGTTCCAATTTATAATGTTAAATGATATTTCCATTAATACACCGCGATGTTAATTAAACGATGTTTAATGTCACGCAGAGTGAGCGCTTTGATCTCCGAATTTAAATACTTTTACAAACGAATGTGACTTTAAATTTTTTTCTGTATAAAATACGCACGCAATTTCCATATACACACATACACACGTGTAATTTCCTTTTTTTTTTTTTTAATTGATATTACATTTTCCGTACGTAGTAATTTTTTTTTTTTTTAATAAAAGCCTTTATATTTGTGCTTATACATACGTAATTTATTATTAATGCGTCGCGATACATATTTGCTATTTGTACACGCGCATTATTAATATCTCTAGGAATAGTTATTTTATATTTACAGTACTTATTTACATAGCAAACGTATACAACCACGCATGAATCCACACAAATATTGCTAACCTATAATTATAGAAATTACAGCAATTTTGTATCATTGGGCAATATCGGACATGTTGAATAATCCAATAATGATTGAAGAAAAAAAAACGAATGTTACACACACGACGCCATATTGGCGTTAATGTGATTGCGAGACGGAAAAACCGGATAACGAGATAACGGATCGGATTGTGTTACGTAATATAAAACTAAGCGACGTTTTATCGAATTTCATCGAAAAATATCCCGTTTCCTGAATATAATGTAATTACAGCGAACATTACTTCGCTCCATTACACGAATGCATTGATCGAACTTTCCAGATTGTTGAAAAAAATTACCAGTGTCGGTAACCTTTCTCTCTCTCTCTCTCTCTCTCTCATGTCGTTTAAACGTATGTTGAACATAACCTCCTAGTGACGCGGAAAGAAATCAGAATCAGGGGGAGGAGAAACGGGCGTCGATTCCGTCGTGTTCCTCGCACGCGTGAAAATCGTGTAACACAGTTTCCCAAGGACTCACCTGAACTCGCCGACCGGGCGTCGTTGCGAAAGTGCAGCTCGTCAATGACGTTGTCCCTTGCTCGGCGCCTCACGACCGACCGTTAGATCAGCCGTCTTCCGCGACGCCCTCGTCCTGTGCGGGGATCCCATCGCCGGGGATTCTCCGGACGGCAGCTGAATCACATCAACCGGTGAGACACACTCGCGTAGAGCGGATTCGCGGTTCTCGCGAAATCGCCGCGCGCGCGTCCGAACACGCCGGCGGGAATTCGAATCCAACGGGACGGAAGAGCGGCGGCCGAGAGCGCCACTCACTTGGCGCGGCACGGCGGCGGCGCGCGGGATCGTTCCATACTGAATCCGTACTTTTGCACACCGCGCGTGAAAACGAGGATACGAACGAACGAGCGCACAGAGGCACGCCGAGCGTATTGTTGTGACGTTTGACCGTCACAGCGCGTGGCGCTTTGTTCCCGTTGTCCTCTATCGGCGGGGAAAAAGCGGACACGGGGAAAAACACGCCGTTGTTGGACCTCGTTGGTCTGGACACGGTCTAATTGCACGCCGAGAGCGCGATCGAATGGCGCGCACGCTTGGTCGTACGACGAATTCGGCCGACCAACGCGAAAGGCGCACGCGATCTCGCAGCGGGGGAGAAGCGGGGACGGGCGAAGGGAGGAATTCGTCCGCGAATTCTCAACTTCGTCGTGTGCGCCGAGCTCCGAGACGCTCGTTTCACCGAACAACCGGACGGACACGACTTATTCCCCTAACGCACCAACAGTCGCGGCAACTTCGCGAAACTGAATCGCGTGACAGTCACGTGACGCGGTGAATATACGGCGATTTCGAACGCGTCGGCAACGTCGAGATCGCGAAGCCGTCGAGCGACGTCCGTCAAGGTCGTGGCGCAACCGCGAGTCCCGAACGCGCAGTGGCCCGCGCGTTGATGATCGCGCCGTTGATTTCGCGGGCTCCTCCACCTCCTTCTCTCCCTCACGCCGGCGGAAGAGCACGAAAAGCACACAAGATGCGCGCGTCCCGGCGGCTGCGCGTGCACTGCCCGTACTCCGTTCGGATGCTCCCTCCCCCCCCCCCCACCCTATCGGCGGCTGGCCGGCCGCCCACCCGCNNCGGCGGCTGGCCGGCCGCCCACCCGCCGCGAAAGCGAGCGCGTACGGGACCCCATGCTCCGTCTCTCGTTCGCCTTCTCCTCTCCGCACTATTTATCCACCGCTCGTTGTCTGACTTACGCATGGCCACGTCTCGTCTTCGTTTTCCCTAGCTTACACCATCGCTCCCCTCTTCCCCGAGCTTTACCGAGCGGACGAGTCCACCATGTGCGCGTGTCCCCGCAATACGACTCGGCCGACCCTTTCGCGACACTGAACAAACAACGTCAACGCAAGATCGGACGGATATTTTCGATAGATCGTTCCGTTTTGTCTCCGATATGCCGTGCGAAGTACGGACTTCTGTGTATTACTAGACTACTAATTCCCTTGTACACTGTCAAAAAATAAATACATTTCTTTTCTTTTTATTCAACCTGTTTGTTTTAAAAAATCGCCGATTTCTTCTTTAAAATTTTGACGTAAATATGTGATATTTCATGTTGCATTATTTCTAAATTATAATTTAGAAATCTCGCTAACTGAGTGACACATGAAGTCTCCGAGTGGCTGTATAGGTTCCTTAGCTAAGTATTGGGGGGAAAGGAGAAAAAAGATAAATACATGCGAGCGGAAACTCCGAATTACAAAGCGTTAATTTCACGCCGGTGCACAGGTATCGCGTATGGTCAGTCACAGGACGACTTGTTTAGATGAGTTTCGCAACCCGTCTCGTGTCCAATAGGAAAACGTATCTCCTGAGAATTACTAAAAAACAAATTCTCTTATTGGACGCGGGATGCGTCCCGAAGCTTATAGAAAAAAAAAGTGTTGCAATCGCCCTGTGACTGATTGTACACGATGCGAAACACTGGCCACGATTTCGAGTCCATGAACGGCTACTTATCGTCGCGTGTCGCAATTTGCATTTGCAATGCAATGGTACATCTGTTCTTCGCGATGCTGAATAACACGTGACATAACACGATTGAGACATGCAGATAATTGGCTTACAAATAGTTTCGATTCTGACGTTAAGTGAGGTTGTGAATATCAACCGTGCGGATAATCACGATGTATTAATTAACACGACGAAAGCTCCGTCGGTCAATTTAATATCTTCGGACGTTGTTTATACGTAAAATTTACCTCAAGGGAAAACGTATGGAAAATGTTTAACAATATTACCAAAGATTCAAATTGGAATGAGAAATGCAAATCGGCCATGAATATCCAGACGAAAAATGAATATGTCCAGCGATTGTTGCTTATTTAAATCGAATCTCAAATTATAAGGAAATAATTGATGCTTTTGCTTAATATTTCAGAAATTCGCGTTATTTCGATCGACTCGTGCCCGGAATAAACAATGGAGCAACCGATGGAAAAACAGCGGAGACAAATCAACCGGCGCGAGTAAATTTGATCAATACATTTCTACGAATATGTGCTTATTTATTTAACGATACACTCGATGCTGTTATATATCGTTGTGAATACTTTGTAGTATTTAAAGAAAAATGTATTATTAAAATTATCACACCTATTCAGTATATTACGTTCATACTTTTGTTTGGAATTACACAAAACCTTTGCCAAAATTAAATTAAAAAGAATATCGGCATGTTCTATCGTTTTGAAATTGTACTGTCATTGGATGACATGGCGATGTAATGAGTTTGTCAGATTGGTATTGCGTTTACGCGATAATAATTTATGTAGTTCGCACGGAAAGTCTGCTTGTACGTGACCCCCAGATTTCCCGCTCGAACATCGTCGAGCTTTCTTCTCCCCCTTCTTTTTTCCCCCCTTCTCCTTCTTCTCTTATGTGCCTCGGAGCCAGACATCTCAACATGCGTCTTACGCATACATCCGCGCGGAAAAAACGTGAACCCCGTCTCGTCACGTCAACGACGTAAAGCGCGTAACGCGCTTTGTAAACGACCGAATCCCACGTAAAATAAATTCCATAATTCCACGCGTGACCCTCGTTGCAAACATCACTTATCGAACTCTCTCAGCTTGCTTTGTTTACAAACGCGGAAACTCCTTCCGCAATTTAACATCGTTATTACAAGCTTTTATATTAATAATGAAAAGGTATGGATAAATTGTTCAGAATTTATGTGAAATAAATAATAATGGAGAAATGTACTTATGCAATCGGCACAAGGTAAACATCATTTTTATAATAAATGTTTCTCAAATTTATCTGCACGAAACAGCAGAATACACAAATATGCATGTAATATAAATATTTCTTTAACGGAGGAAACCATTCTTCCCTTTCCTGAATTACGAAAATTGCTCGCGCGACACGTGGAAATAGACGTTGCTTTTCCAGCTAATATCCTGCATGAACGCGAAATTAATGAACATAAAAAATAACTCCCGAGAATTTCTATCTCACGTTTGTTGAATTTTGCTCCTGAGCGCACGCGCGACAAGAATCCCGAGAGCGATTGTCCGAGAGCGCAGCTGAGCTACCGATGCGCCGGAAACCGTAGCAGGATGAAAATTACGAGGCGCGATATCAAGCTGAGCAACGCCGATAATCCCATAAAGAAATCCGTCCGTAATCGGGGAAGACAATGTGAACGAGGCCTTAAGGAGCCAACGGGGTTCGCGGTATGCGTATATATTATGCAGGCACGGGTATTACGAGAGTAGCTCGGATGTACCTAAGTATATATTGAGTATCGAACGTGCCCTTGAGGGATAGTACACGGCAGAGCGAGAGGTGGAGATCGTAGACGAGGAAGACGAGGAGGAAAGCGAGAGCAACGGAGGTGGAGAAGGAAGGAAAAGGCGATCGAGATTGAATTATGGCTCGCGGCTTAAATGCCGGATTCAAATCGATCCCATATATCACATTACCTGACACCTTTATTCTCCTTTCTGCGGCCGCATCTCGTCCCCGTTGCCGGGTTCCTATTGTTTTACTTCTCTCTCTCTTGCTCCCTCGTTATTCGCCCTGCATGCAACTATAGATAGATATGAGCCGTTCCACCGTGTGCGGAATAATATGTGTTAACCCTGAACGATGCGTTTTGTTTGCGCGCGATGAAAAAGAACCATAACATGCTTGGTCATACGAGTAATCGTATCTATCGTCGTATTAATTTCAATATTTGTTTTGTAACTCGATATGAAGATATTTTGTTAATTTTTTTTTTAGTGCACACACGCAACATATGTACCGAGAGAGAAATATTTGCTATTTTTCAAGAGAATAATTTTTTAGTATATGTTATTATAGTGTCAGTAATAATAATCTTACATGCATATCGTTACTGTTGTTTTTGTGGTTAAAACTATAAAAAGAATATAGTTGAGACCGGAAGTAACTAGAATTTCTTTCACGTGTACGTACGATAAATGTAGAAATTTTCGAATTTCTTTCGAATTTCTTTTCCTGATAGATTATGCTTTTGGATTCTTAAAAAATGTATTATAAGTGACGAAATCACATTCGATTTATATTAAGTATACAAATGAAATCATATCCCAATATTATCTTCTCTCTAACTCAAAGTCGTGCAATTTACGCCTGATTAATCGGAAAGTTTGATCGGACGGCGATAAATTCACCGCGATAAATTCACCACAGAAAGTCATTCGCATCGCATGCCCTGTGCTTCGATCGAGCGTGAAGTTCTAGAATCGTAGGGAGAAGAGTATACATCTGGGAAACGAATGACATCGTACATCGGAGCCCACAATTTTGTAGTCATCCACGAACAGAAACAAAAGTTCGTCGAATGGAAATATCGTTCGGTACCTGTCAAATATAAAGCTAGCGTAATAAATGCCTCTCCCGCCACTCACGTACAGGCGGGCACAAAACTTTAACACATCACAATGTATTCATATTATGACTTACAACATTGAATAATAGTAATAATAATCTTACATCTGGGTAATTTCGATCGTTGCACTGCAACCCTTATTTGTTTTGGATTAATTAGAGAAGAGAGGCTAGCCTGGCACGTGTCAGAATTTTTTTTTAATGGAAATAATCATAAAACCAGTTATGTACGGCAAATGTACGATTTATGCGCTTTTATATCAAGGTAATTTCAATTGTTGCACAGCAAACCTTATTTATTTTGCATTAGATGGGGGGAGAGAAATTAACGGGCTGGCTGGGCAGATGTCAAAGAATTTCTCTAAAATGGAAATAATCATAAAACCAGTTATGTGCGGTAAATGCACGATTTATGCGTTCTTATATTCAGGTGATTTCGCTGTTTGCGTTCCCTTAAAAGAATTCTCAATAAAAATACGTAAATAAAAAAATACGTAATATTTGTACAAAATTTGGAAATATCGAAAAAGTGCAATCAGTAAGTTCAGACGAACTCTATAGCGCAGCGGCACATAATGCCATGAATACTTATCGTTAACGTACTTTTTATCTATACGCGCTCGTTGAATATTCAAGAGTATCGCTTTTGCCGCATGGATACATTGTAAATCATTGCCGGGTGCGATAAAAAAGACGTCTCCTACTCCTACCTGCGCTTCCGTTCGCCCGGCAATTATCTTAATGCTAACGCCCGGAAAGTCGAGTTATTATCAAAACGGGCGCCATAATTCAGCACGATCGCGTTTGCCGGCGAGCGAAGCTTATTTTTCCACGCCGGGCGCAGAAACTACCGAAAAGGATTCGCTATTACGTACCGCAGCGTCCACCTTTCACCCCTCCCGCGCGATAATTTTTCCATGTTTACGGCCCGCGAAACATCCGACCGTTTTTCTTCGCGGCCGGGAAAGGGGAGAGGAAAATAGAGAAAGAGAGAGAGAGGAGAGGGAATATTTCGGCAACGAAGGAAGGAGAATAACGGTAGACGGGGGTGGGAAAAATACACGAGATTGAAAACGCCAATTGTCGTAACGTGTAGCCGCGCAATACGCGC